TTGTCATTGCAGGCAATCTCAACGCTGTGCGTTACAGGGAAGACATCCTCCTACCTCATGTGGTACCGTTCCTGCAGGCTCATCCTGACATGACCCTCCAGCATGACAATGCCATCAGCCATACTGATCGTTATGTGGGTGATTTCCCGCAAGACAGGAATGTCAGTGTTCTGCCATGGCCAGCGAAGAGCCCGGATCTCAATCCCATTGAGCACGTCTGGGACCTGTTGGATCGGAGGGTGAGGGCTAGGGCCATTCCCCCCAGAAATGTCCGGGAACTTGCAGGTGCCTTGGTGGAAGAGTGGGGTAACATCTCACAGCAAGAACTGGCAAATCTGGTGCAGTCCATGAGGAGATGCACTACAGTACTTAATGCAGCTGGTGGCCACACCAGAAACGGACTGTTACTTTTTATTTTAACCCCCCCTTTGTTCAGGGACATATTATTTCATTTCTGTTAGTCACATGTCTGTGGAACTTGTTCAGTTTATGTCTCAGTTGTTGAATCTTATGTTCATACAAATATTTACACATGTTAGGTTTGCTGAAAATAAACGCAGTTGAAAGTGAGAGGACGTTTCTTTTTTTGCTGAGTTTATACAGTTGAAGTCTGGAGTTTACATACACTTAGGTTGGAGTCATTAAAACTTGTTTTTCAACCTCTCCTCAAGTTTCTTGTTAACAAACTATAGTTTTGGCAAGTCGGTTAGGACATCTACTTTGTGCATGACACAAGTAATTTTTCCAACAATTGTTTACAGACAGATTATTTCACTTATAATTCACTGTATCACAATTCCAGTGGGTCAGAAGTTTACATACACTAAGTTGACTGTGCCTTTAAACAGCTTGGAAAATTCCAGAAAATGATGTCATGGCTTTAGAAGCTTCTGATAGGCTAATTGACATAATTTGAGTCAATTGGAGGTGTACCTGTAGATGTATTTCAAGGCGTACCTTCAAACTCAGTGCCTCTTTGCTTGACATGATGGGAAAATGAAAAGAAATCAGCCAAGACCTCAGAAAAAAATGGTAGACCTCCACAAGTCTGGTTTATCCTTGGGAGCAATTTCCAAACTCCTGAAGGTACTACGTTCATCTGTACAAACAATCGTACCGAAGTATAAACACCATAGGACCACGCAGCCGTCACACCGCTCAGGAAGGAGACGCGTTCTGTCTCCTAGAGATGAACGTACTTTGGTGCGAAAAGTGCAAATCAATCCCAGAACAACAGCAAAGGACCTTGTGAAGATGCTGGAGGAAACAGGTACAAAAGTATCTATATCCACAGTAAAACGAGTCCTATATCGACGTAACCTGAAAGGCTGCTCAGCAAGGAAGAAGCCACTGCTCCAAAACCACAATAAAAAGGCCAGACTACGGTTTGCAACTGCACATGGGGACAAATATCTTACTTTTTGGAGAAATGTCCTCTGGTCTGATGAAACAAAAATAGAACTGTTTAGCCATAATGACCATCGTTATGTTTGGAGGAAAAAGGGGGCTGCTTGCAAACCGAAGAACACCATCATCCCAACCGTGAAGCACGGGGGTGGCAGCATCATGCTGTGGGGGTGCTTTGCTGCAGGAGGGACTGGTGCACTTCACAAAATAGATGGCATCATGAGGAAGGAAAATTATGTGGATATATTGAAGCAACATCTCAAGACATCAGTCAGGAAGTTAAAGCTTGGTCGCAAATGGGTCTTCCAAATGGACAATGACCCCAAGCATACTTCCAAAGTTGTGGCAAAATGGCTTAAGGACAACAAAGTCAAGGTGTTGGAGTGGCCATCACAAAGCCCTGACCTCAATCCTATATAAAATGAGTGGGCAGAACTGAAAAAGCGTGTGCGAGCAAGGAGGCCTACAAACTTCACTCAGTTACACCAGCTCTGTCAGGAGGAATGGGCCAAAATTCACCCAACTTATTGTGGGAAGCTTGTGGAAGGCTACCCGAAACGTTTGACCCAAGTTAAACTATTTAAAGGCAATGCTACCAAATACTAATTGAGTGTATGTAAACTTCTGATCCACTCGGAATGTGATGAAATCATTCTCTCTACTATTATTCTGACATTTCACATTCTTAAAATAAAGTGGTGATCCTAACTGACCTAAGACAAGGAATTGTTACTAGGATTAAATGTCAGGAATTGTTAAAAACTGAGTTTAAATGTATTTGGCTAAGGTGTATGTAAACTTCCGACTTCAACTGTATATATTTAGCTGAAAATGTGGGGCTCAAAACAGGTGGGGCTCGCCACTGACTATAGTGAGTATGTATGAGAGGGTTGTTGTGCTAGTCAGATGCTAACCAAATGCTGAAGCGTCCTCCCTGGTTGGCACTGCTTCACTTCCTTTGTTTTATGTTGTTTGATGCTGTCAGGGAAATCAAGGAACTAGCTCAGTGATGCTGTTTTAAGCCCAGTGAGTGAGTCAGAGTGAAGATAGCAGGGAGAAGAGATTTATGTGTCCCAAATGGCTCCCTATTTAGTGAACTACTTTTGATCAGGGCCCATAGGGGTCTGGTCAAAAGTAGTGCACTAGATAGGGAATAGGGTGCCATTTAGCTTAGCTAGAGATGGTGATAGACCTGGTGAATCAGGCAGATGCAGTTTCTTACATTGCCGCCCACCTAATACATTAATTCTAGACACACATGCAGGCACAAAAATCCATCCATGCACGCACACACAGACACACACACACAGACACACACACACATCTGTGGAGTAGAGCTGTCTGGGCCTAATGTAACCCTGGTCCTTCATTTGGAGCAGACTGAAGTACCACTCCTCCTCACCTCCTTCCATTCTTTCATCCTCCCCTGCTCTGAGTCATCCTCACCTGGTGAATAATTAAAGTGTCTGAGTGAGCCTTTCGGTCTGGACACACACACACGCAGTGATACCACTCCGTCTAGCTGGCCAGGGGGAGAGGAGAGGGAGCACAGTGATCACTAGGCTTATACCTCTCACAGCCTTGCCTAAGCAGGAAGTGATGCAGCACCAGATACAGCACCCCCCACAGACACACTTTTGTGTGTGTGTTTGTGTGTCTGTGTGTGTGTGTCTGTGTGTTTCAACTACAGCAGCCCCCACAGACCCGCTCCCTGCTCCCTCCTTCCTGCTCACAACATGGCAGCCATGTTTCTAGGATTTTATCACCTTGCAGCATACCAACAGTGGCACTATGACTTAGCTAATAGGCCTAATGCTTAATGGTCTTTGCCATAGACAACTGCTAGTGCTGAGTAGTGTCTTATATGAGGTGATTACAGTGGGAGAGGAGAGAGCTGTACTGGTGCTGGCATTTAGTCACTTAATGAGATTAGCACCACTTAATGCAGGGCACCGTATCTGCTATCCCCGGTGCCTGGTCTAACTAACTCACAGTGAAGAGAAAGTGTTTGGTGTTTTAGTTTTTTCCATTACTGATATCTACGACACTCTTTCATAGTCTATGAGATTTTATTAATCAGTTTTAGGATCAATTCATGGATATCAATGCAGAAAAGATTTTAGATGGTTTACTGCATCAGTCCCAGCAACTGTTTTATGCCAAGGCTCAGTGTGTGTGTGTCTGTGTGTCTCTGTGTCTCTGTCTGTGTGGCCGTGTTTGTGTATTGTCTGTTTTTGTTTGCGGTGATTCAGCTAAATCGAGGTTATCAAATTGTGTTAGATTGCATATACATAATATATTGTGCTGCTGATGTCAGGCTATATTCACATATCTAAAGTAGCTTTTTCCCCATGTATATCTATACTACTGCATCCATTCTTCCCATTTTGTTATTATTATTATTATTATTATTGGCTTAGCTGTAAAACATGCTTGGCCCAGCACTTTGTACATTTTGGGAAGGAATATATTATATAAATATCAGGAATTGGAGCTCATTATATTATGATGCTCCTTATGTAACACACACACACACACACAATTTATCACACATGTTCTCCCCAGCCCTGACTCATGGTCTGTCTATTGCATTTATGTTGTACTGTGTCGCCTGCCCTAAACCAATAGATAGATATCACTTGACCACAGGATATTTCTTTCTGGGAGTGTACTGCCTTACAATAGATGGATCTGGAGATTAGGATGGAGTCAAATCCTCCATTTTATATCATATTAGTTGATATCTGATGCTGCAGTCTCCATCTCCACATGCAGCTCTCTGTACCAGGGTTGGGGGCCGGTTCCATATACCAGTTCTTCATTGGAATTGGAATTTCAGTTATTTCCTGAATTGATTTAATTGAAATGTAATTGACCTTTGACCACCAACCCTGCTCTGCACCAGTAGCATACTGCACACGGCTGCCAGGTTCCATTCTGTTATTCTTTCCATGTCCCTATCTGTTCTCTCATTGCCTCCTCTTTTCTCTAACTTCTGTTTGTCTCAGCTTCTGCTAACAACCATGCCTGGCAATCCCAATCACGTAAGTTTACTTTACTTTTATCTGGTTACATGTCTTGTAACATGCCTTTTGTCCAGGTTTCCACTGATGTTGTTTCAGATAACACAGCTAACTGTAAAGTTAAGAGAATCTGTCCTAAGAGACACAGAAGTAGGACTCCTGTTTAGATTTGGTCCTTCTCTCATCTCCAGACATATATTTTAGTCCGAACATAGTTTACATCCATTTGTTTTTAATTCTACACGTGTTCAGATTAAGGGATGCCCAGACAGTCTTTGAAAGACCAGACATTTATCTAATGACTCCCCCTAGTGAGGAAAAATAATAGTATTTGTGTTAGGACATACAGGTTTTATATGTGTAACAAATAAATATTTTCCTTGAATCCCTTCTCTGCCACACATGATTACAGTAGTGATTACAGCAGTAGGTGGAGGTCCCATGACAGTCAGGACTCACTATAGGCCATACACTCTCATTATCTCCATGTAATGGCAGCATTTCTCTGTAAAATAAAGAGCAACCGTTGTAACTGTCCATCCTCTCTCTCTCTCCCCCCTGCCCCTCCAGTGCGGTTTGCCCCATACCGGCCACCTGACATCTCCCTGAAGCCCCTCCTCTTTGAGGTGCCCAGCATCACCATGGACTCAGTGTTTACCGGTCGTGATTGGCTGTTCCAGGAGGTCGATGCCCATCTCAACAGAGGCAACAACATCACCAACCTCGGCGTGGTTGTCGTGGGCAACATCGGCTACGGCAAGACAGCCATCATCTCTCGTCTGGTGGCACTGAGCTGCCACGGAATGCGCATGAGACAGATCGCCTCTGACTCTCCGCAGGCCTCTCCCAAACGTAGGCTCAGATACTCATTATTAGAGAGTACCATTAAAATGGCCACAAACCAATAAGTCAGATTTCAATAAACATTTCTGTTTACCAAAACAGAGGCGGAGTGAACGCTTTGTTATTTTTGGAACGGCAGATTGGTTTGACAAGCATGCCATTGGTAAAACCCTCTTCCTTCTATGCTTCTCCTCAGATGGAGAGCTCCCCCTTACCCAGCCCCAGCCGGCCTATAGCACGGGTACCCTGGGAGGGGGCAGCTGTCCCGGGACCCCTGAGATGAGACGACGCCAGGAGGAGGCCATGAGGAGACTGGCATCTCAGGTTAAAAAAAGATGACCCTCCAAAAATGATTATACCCTAATTTCCTAGCTAGCAAACCAGTTCATCATACTAAGTGGCACGCTAGTCTGGATTTTGGAACAGTTTCACAGCACATTTAAGACATCAGTACACAAGGCTAGCTCTTTTAATTGCAGACATCCAGTTTGGCCTATAAACATTCTTTCTAACAACTCTTTCTCTTTCAGTGGAGTAAACTTGTTAACATTTATGAACCTGTCTAGTCTGAAGTTAAATAAGGTATGAATGATGTGTGAGGCGGTGCTTAGTGGCTTCCCTAAATCCCCACACCACCCACATCATCACACCATAGCCCCAGTCTCCCCTATCCCCTAAATGGGGGTGACAGATGCGCCTCGCCATCTGTAGCCCCATTCCATTCCCATTCCTCTCCGCAGCCCCAGCCTGCTGCATTATGCAGATGTGTTTAAAAGAGAAAAAACAACTTTGCCAGGGAGCCTTATGAAATATGTATACCTGCAGAAAGCTATTTCCCAGCCAAGCTATTATATCTTGTTAACTCGATGCATTAATAATTGAGCCCGCTCCCACTTTTCTCCCTTTGTTTTAAGCCCTGTTTTATTCCTCTGTGACTCAATTAGCATTTTATCCTGATTTGTTTTTTTTATCCCTGCGGTTTCCTTGATGAAACAGAAGAACAGAGGCTGGCGCTGGGTTCACGTCAACTGTCATAGTCCCCGAGCTGGACACACCTAGCTGGTGGCGCAGCTTTCTAATTGCCTCACCTCTCTCCTCCTCTTTTTCATTTTAATTTTCTCTCCTTTCCTCTTTCATGCCCGTCTGTTCTTTGTGTTATCTGCTCGTGGCAGTTTGTAAAGCTTTGTGCTCACCGTGCTGAGAATGTATTATTATAGAGAAACACACTGAGATTACTCATCTGTATTGTGCTGATAATCATTTAGACTTTTGACTCCTCTGGGTGTCCGTCTAAACATGCAATTAAACACACACACACTCATTCACATTCATCTTTTCTCAACGGCAGGGAGCTCTGAATTATTTATTAGCTTAAAACCGAAAAGAGAAATAAGACGTAATATGTTCATTATACTGCAATCATCCACCATGAACTAGTTGACTCACTCCCAAATCAATTGTAGCAGCGCCAGTTTATAAAACCTGATTCTCATTGTCGAAACATAGAAAACAAGGTTGTGTTCATTAAGCACAGATCTGAAGAATGACCTGGACTTGGTCCAATAAGAAATGCAACTTTTATTTTTTTTATTTTTTTTAAAAACGTTTTACAGATCTGAAGAATGACCTGGACTTGGTCCAATAAGAAATGCAACTTTTTATTTTTTTTATTTTTTTAAAAACGTTTAGCTACAGTGTGACCTAATGACCATAACCCAGTATTGTATTTTCGACCCCCTTTTACTGACCTATCATGTCTCCCCCCTCTCTATCGCCCCCAGGTGGTGGCGTACCACTACTGCCAGGCGGACAACGCCTACACGTGCCTGGTGCCGGAGTTTGTCCACAACGTGGCAGCGTTGCTGTGTCGCTCGCCACAGCTCATCGCCTACAGAGAGCTGCTACTCAGGGAGCCACACCTACAGAGCATGCTCAGTCTGCGCTCCTGTGTTCAGGATCCCCTGGCCTCCTTCAGAAGAGGAGTTCTAGAACCCCTGGATGCCCTCTACAAAGGTGATACAACTCTCTGCTCCTATTATACACCCCTAGATAACTCTATCATAGCGAACTCTACTAGGTGTTCTAGAACCCCTGGATGCTTTCTACAAAGGTGAGTTCTGGTCTGCATCGCAAATGGTACCTTATTCCCTACAGTGAGGGGAAAAAGTATTTGATCCCCTGCTGATTTTGTAAGTTTGCCCACTGACAAAGAAATGATCAGTCTATAATTTTAATGGTAGGTTTATTTGAACAGTGAGAGACAGAATAACAACAAAAAAATCCAGAAAAAGGCATGTCAAAAATGTTATAAATTGATTTGAATTTTAATGAGGGAAATAAGTATTTGACCTCCTCGCAATCAGAAAGATTTCTGGCTCCCAGGTGTCTTTTATACAGGTAACGATCTGAGATTAGGAGCACACTCTTAAAGGGAGTGCTCCTAATCTCAGTTTGTTACCTGTATAAATGACACCTGTCCACAGAAGCAATCAATCAATCAGATTCCAAACTCTCCACCATGGCCAAGACCAAAGAGCTCTCCAAGGATGTCAGGGACAAGATTGTAGACCTACACAAGGCTGGAATGGGCTACAAGACAATCGCCAAGCAGCTTGGTGAGAAGGTGACAACAGTTGGTGTGATTATTCGCAAATGGAAGAAACACAAAATAACTGTCAATCTCCCTCGGCCTGGGGCTCCATGCAAGATCTCACCTCGTGGAGTTGCAATGATCATGAGAACGGTGAGGAATCAGCCCAGAACTACACGGGAGGATCTTGTCAATGATCTCAAGGCAGCTGGGACCATAGTCACCAAGAAAACAATTGGTAACACACTACGCCGTGAAGGACTGAAATCCTGCAGCGCCCACAAGGTCCCCCTGCTCAAGAAAGCACATATACAGGCCCATCTGAAGTTTGCCAATGAACATCTGAATGATTCAGAGGAGAACTGGGTGAAAGTGTTGTGGTCAGATGAGACCAAAATCGAGCTCTTTGGCATCAACTCAACTCGCTGTGTTTGGAGGAATGCTGCCTATGACCCCAAGAACACCATCCCCACCGTCAAACATGGAGGTGGAAACATTATGCTTTGGGGTTGTTTTTCTGCTAAGGGGACAGGACAACTTCACCGCATCAAAGGGACGATGGACGGCGCCATGTACCGTCAAATCTTGAGTGAGAACCTCCTTCCCTCAGCCAGGGCATTGAAAATGGGTCGTGGATGTGTATTCCAGCATGACAATGACCCAAAACACACGGCCAAGGCAACAAAGGAGTGGCTCAAGAAGAAGCACATTAAGGTCCTGGAGTGGCCTAACCTTAATCCCATAGAAAATCTGTGGAGGGAGCTGAAGGTTAGAGTTGCCAAACGTCAGGCTCGAAACCTTAATGACTTGGAGAAGATCTGCAAAGAGGAGTGGGACAAAATCCCTCCTGAGATGTGTGCAAACCTGGTGGCCAACTACAAGAAACGTCTGACCTCTGTGATTGCCAACAAGGGTTTTGCCACCAAGTACTAAGTCATGTTTTGCAGAGGGGTCAAATACTTATTTCCCTCATTAAAATGCAAATTAATTTATAAAAATTTTGACATGCGTTTTTCTGGATTTTTTTGTTGTTATTCTGTCTCTCACTGTTCAAACAAACCTACCATTAAAATTATAGACTGATCATGTCTTTGTCAGTGGGCAAACGTACAAAATCAGCAGGGGATCAAATACTTTTTTCCCTCACTGTATATAGTGCACTATTTTTGACCAGAGCCCTATAGGCCCTGGTTAGAAGAAGTGCACTATATAGGGAATCTCAGGTAAAAGGTAGTGCACTATATAAGAAATAGGCTGACATTTGGGACACACCCCTAGAACCCCTGGACGCTCTCTACAAATGTGATAAAACTCTCTCTACTCCTAGTGACTCTGTCAGTGCTCACATTGATTATACTATGGGCGTGATCCTCAAAACATATGTATTCTTGATTTTAGCAAGAATACATTAGGCAGAACATTTGCAGTCAGGTTTTTTGGTCCATATTGACTCTTTTCTCTGTGTGTGTTTTTCAGAGAGGAAGATCGCCTCTGTAGATGACCTGGTCATCCTGATAGATGGGCTAAATGAGGCAGAGTTCCACAAGCCTGACTACGGAGACACCATTGTCTCCTTCCTCAGCAAAACCATCAGCAAGTTTCCCCCCTGGCTCAAACTGGTGGTCACTGTTAGGACCACATTACAGGTAGACACATTAGACGCATTACGGTCCTCTACCCCTCCAATAAGAGTGTGGCCATTAAAAACATACAAGATGAACACTGTTAACACCAAACAAGGATAATTGTCTTTTGATAGAGTTTGTCAATAGATTGACATCAGTGGAAGATTGCTTCTATATCTCGTTACACTGCCTACGCATCTCTTTCCCTCCCCCACTTTTCTTCTTCCAACCCCCTTCATCTCCTGCCTCCATTTATCCTTTCCTCCCGCTTTCTTCATCCTCCTCTCTTCTCCTCATCCTCATTCCTCCATCATTCCCCCCCTCTTCCTCCTTCTCCCCTCATCCTCCCCTCTCCCCTCCCTTACCTCCCTCCTATAGGAGATCACCAAGCTGCTTCCATTCCACCGTATCTCTCTGGATGGTCTGGAGGAGAACGATGCTATAGACCAGGACTTACAGGGTTACATCCTGCACCGCATCCACAGCAGTCCTGAGATACAGAACAACATCTCTCTCAATGGCAAGATGGACAACACCACCTTCGGCAAGCTCTCCACCCACCTCAAGGCCCTCAGCCAGGGATCCTACCTGTACCTCAAACTCACCTTTGACCTTATAGAGAAGGGGTACCTGGTTCTCAAGAGCTCCAGCTACAAGGTTAGCCTGCCTGGGAGGGGGTTTAATTTACAGTACATTGTATTGCCTTAGTTTTATTCTTGTCTTTATTCTTTTATTTATTTCTACTTTTAATTACACTGAACATAAATATAAACGCAACATGCAACAATATCAACGATTTTACTGAGTTACAGTTCATATAAGGAAATCGGTCAATATAACTAAATTCATTAGGCCCTAATCTATGGATTTCACATGATGCAGCGATCAGTGGGCCCACACACTTGGGAGCCAGGCCCAGCCAATCAGAATGAGTTTTTCCCCACAAAAGGGCTTTATTATAGACTGAAGTACTCCTCAGTTTCATCAGCTGTCCGGGTGGCTGGTCTCAGACGATCATGCAGATGAAGAAGCCGAATGTGGAGGTCCTGGACTGGCGTGGTTACATGTGGTCTGCGGTTGTGAGGCCAGTTGGACGTACTGCCAAATTCTCTAAAACAACTTTGGAGGCGGCTTATGCACATTACATTCTCTGACAACAGCTCTGGTGGACATTGCTGCAGTCAGCATGCCAATTGCACGCTCCCTCAAAACTTGAGACATCTGTGGCATTGTGTTGTGTGACAGAACTGCACATTTTAGAGTGGCCTTTTATTGTCCCCAGCACAAGGTGCACCTGTGTACTGATCATGCTGTTTAATCAGCTTCTTGATATGCCACACCTGTCAGGTGGATGGATTATCTTGGCAAAGGAGAAATGCTCAATAACAGGGATGTAAGCAAATCTGTGCAGAAAATATTAGAGAAATAAGGTTTTTGTGCGTATGGAAAATGTCTGGGATCTTTTATTTCAGCTCATGAAACATGGGACCAACACTTTAAAACATTTTTATTTTTATACAGCACATTGTTTTGCACTCCCTATCTAATAAATATGCTATAATAATGATTGACTGACCGATTGATTGATAGATTAACTGATTGATTCATTGATCCCAGGTGGTGCCCGTCAACCTGGCCGAGGTGTACCTGCTGCAGTGCAACATGCGTTTCCCTACCCAGTCGTCCTTCGAACGGGCCCTCCCCCTACTCAACGTGGCCGTGGCATCCCTCCACCCCCTCACTGACGAACAGATCTACCAGGCTATCAATGCCGGCTCCCTGCAGGCAAATACACATATTGCACCGACGTGGAACTGTTAGCATTTCCCATAGGAAAACATGTCACACATAGCTGCCATGCTAACACTAGCTGGGCATGCGCAGTTGTATACCGGATAGCAACGATAATGCCCGTGAAGAACAGCCTTAGCAAAGCACTTGGGCATGTGCACAGCTAACAAGCTAACTTTCTTGGTTTCACTCTCTTTGCTGCAGGGCACACTAGACTGGGAGGACTTCACACAGCGCGTAGACAACCTGGCCATGTTCCTGGTCAAGAGGAGGGACGGGACCAGGATGTTTGTTCACCCATCCTTCAGGGAGTGGCTGATCTGGAGGGAGGAGGGGGAGAAAACCAAGTTCCTCTGTGACCCCAGGTCAGTGGGTGGATGGGTCTGCTGTTGTGTGGGGGGTGGGTACTAAATGAGAGACTGATGTAGTCTTAGATAGGGTTACAAAACTTTGCCCAAATTCCTAGGTTTTCCAGAAATTCCGGTTGGAAGTTTCCTAGAATCAGGAGGAAATAAGCAGGAATAAGCATACTAAACTAACTGTCAACAACATTACATCTAACAATCTACTAACCCTAACTATTTGTGCGGAAGCTCATGGTTTATGTTCCTCCCTGTCTCCCTTTAGGAGTGGCCACACCCTGCTAGCCTTCTGGTTCTCTCGCCAGGAGACCAAACTGAACCGACAGCAGACCATTGAACTGGGACACCACATCCTCAAAGCACACATCTTCAAGGTTCACCTAACCACACTCTACCTGCCTACACACGCGCACACAGACACACACAATGCACACACACACCTTCGTATGCACACAGCACAACTCAAAGCAGTGACAGCTCAAATTATGTCTATATTTCAGGGCCTAAGCAAGAAGGTTGGGGTTTCCTCGTCCATCCTCCAGGGGCTGTGGGTTTCCTACAGCACAGAGGGCCTGTCCACTGCCCTGTCCTCACTCAGAAACCTGTACACTCCTAACATCAAGGTAACTTACTGCTTTTCCCTCTTAACATCAAGGTAACTTACTGCTTTTCCCTCTTAACATCAAGGTAACTTACTGCTTTTCCCTCTTAACATCAAGGTAACATACTGCTTTTCCCTCTTAACTCTTAACATCAAGGTAACTTAATGCTTTTCCTTCTTAACACTTAACATCAAGGTAACTTACTGCTTTTCCCTCTTAACATCAAGGTTAACTTACTGCTTTTCCCTCTTAACATCAAGGTAACTTACTGCTTTTCCCTCTTAACATCAAGGTTAACTTACTGCTTTTCCCTCTTAACATCAAGGTAACATACTGCTTTTCCCTCTTAACATCAAGGTTAACTTACTGCTTTTCCCTCTTAACATCAAGGTAACATACTGCTTTTCCCTCTTAACATCAAGGTAACATACTGCTTTCCCTCTTAACATCAAGGTAACATACTGCTTTTCCCTCTTAACATCAAGGTAACTTAGACCGGAGCAAATCGAGTCCGAGTCAAGACCAAGACTGGAGGGGGGGCGAGACCGAGACCAGAAAAATGAGAGACCAATTCAAGACCATGATTGCAATTTTGTCAAATCACCACCATAATAAGAGTTCAAAATGTCCAGTATTTCTGTGTTCATATTTCAGAACAACATATGGATTCTTTAGACATTCAAAATAGTGAAAAAATGCATGCTGAGGGAAAATGGAGCCACTCTACAAATTATTATTAACCCAAACAAAGTGGGGAACAATGAGCCTTCTACACCTTCAGAGAAGGGCTAAGGATTTATAAAATAAAATTATGGTTATAATAATAATTATATTATTATTTTCAATGATCTGATTTAATCTCTTCAGTTTTTGTTGGAAAGGAAAGGGTTAACATTGAAGAGGAAAAAAATATCCAATCAGGATTTTTCTTTGCTGGTCTCTGGGGAGATACATCTAGCTAGCTAAGTCAGCTATTGGCTAGGCCATCAGAACCTAGATAAAGGCATCTGCCATTCAACTGTATTAGGGCACCATTTTGGAGTGACAGTGGAATCAACCAATCACATTTCGACTTAATAGGTGGGCCCATTTTTACAAAAACGTATGGAAACTTCTGCCTTCTTGAAGGCCAACAGCGGAGGCGGACTGGGCGACACAGAGCGTAACGAATGACGGTGGATGGTGGTTGGAAGAGCGCGCTTATTTGAAATGGAAAAGCGTTGCGGTAGCTATTGATAAAGAAGAACATCAATACGCGCTCTGTGGGATGCACTGTTGTGCGCTACATCCCGAGGGGTTCGTGCTGATTGTGACAGCCAGTTAAATGGCATCCCTTGAGAAGGCAAGAACAAGATGTATGTCAGGAGAAGTGCACTATTATCATAAGGAGACGTATACTTGGAATACGGAAGAGGAATGGAGGGAAAAAGAGAGGCAGAGGAGGTCTAAGAGAGAGAGGGAGGAAGAGGGTGAGATTGAGTCGGTAATAAAAGTTGGAAAAAAGGAAGATGGTTTGTTAAAGAAGAATGGTAGAAAGTATAAGCAGAGTGAGCTGAAGACGAGGAGAAATGGAAGTAAATGAGGGTGAAGTATCGGAGGTGGTAGGTGTGGTGAAGTTCTTGGAGCCCGAGGATTGCACTGAGGGTCAGGATAAAGATGAGTCTGTGACAGTAGGAGTGACGTTTTTGGAAAAGGTGGAAACTTGTCTTTTGGCTGATCCATTTGTGGTTTCAAGGTGGGTGAAAACAGAGTTGGGTGCTGTGGAATCGGTGAGGGTAACCAGAAGTGGTCTTGTGATAATTGTTTGTGTTTCTGCTCGTTAGAGGGAGCAGGCGCTCTGCGTTAAACGAATGGGGGCAAGAGATGTGAATTGTTTTGCGCTCAAGAAAAGGGCGCCATTGAAAGGGGTGATTACTGGGGTAGCAGTAAATGTAAAGGTTGACCAATTGAAGGGGAAGATTCCCGGTGTTTGTGATGCTCGTCGTTTGGTGCGATGCAGACAGGTTGGCGTGAGTGGTGAAACAGAAGAATCATTGTCTGTTCTTTTGAGATTTGATGTTGAGTCTTGGCCCGACAAAGTGATGTTAGGGTATATAAGTAAGAGCTTTTGTGCCGAATACATTACGTTGTTACAGGTGTCAAGCTTATGGGCATGTGGCAGCAGTGTGTAGGAGGGAGGTTCTAGGTGTGAGAAGTGTGCAGAAGGGCATGAGTCAAAGGAATGTGTAGCATTAGTGAAAGTAATGGTATGTGTTAATTGTAGGGGTGCCCATGGGGCTGGGGATCAGAAATGTCCCGTGCGAGAGAGGCAGGTTGAGGTTTCAGTAGTGTAGTGTAGTGCAGAAGTTGTCATGTGCTGAGGCAGTGAAGAAAGTAGAGAAAGATGGGTCAAGGGGGAGGGATCCTGAGAGGAGTGGTGTGAGTAGTAGTTCTGTACCAGTACAGAGGGATAGGCCAACAAGTGATATATGTTTCAGTAAGATTGGATTTTTAGCATTTATAGCAATGGTTATCAACTGTACTGCAGGGATGGAACGTAAGTCGCAGAAAATTGTGGTTGTGGTGGCAGCTGCAGAGAGGTATTTGGGTGTGCGAGACTTGACATCAGAAGAGTTACAGGGTGTGTTGTTGGCCTGAGGTAGGACTAAATAGATTTAAATAGTGGAGTAGGGTGGTGTTTTATTTTATTATATGTATGTTTTTCTGAGTGTAGTGTTTGATGGTAGGGTATTTATTTTTAAAACATTCAAGCAAAGTATAAGGGAGTTGTAGTCCAGTCTAGTAGGTGGCGGTAATGCAACATTTAACCGCCGTTAAACCTCACCGAAGAAGAAAAAGAAGGCGGCGGCAGCCAACAGGTCACTGCGCAATAGCGAGATAACTTGTGTGTGTGAAACATTGTTGCATTTAAAGTGGAACTGACAGCATTTTAGCAACATGATATCTGATTTAAAATCTGTTCATATACACACCCAGGAAGAATGACACTTTTTAAACATTTTCTGACATGCAACCACTTAGATATGGTCATTTTCACGTTTTCATCAATTCTTAGAATGTTTGGGAATTATATATACAGTGAGGGAAAAAAGTATTTGATCCCCTGCTGATTTTGTACGTTTGCCCACTGACAAACAAATGATCAGTCTATAATTTTAATGGTAGGTTTATTTGAACAGTGAGAGACAGAATAACAACAACAAAATCCAGAAAAACACATGTCAAAAATGTTATAAATTGATTTGCATATTAATGAGGGAAATAAGTATTTGACCCCCTCTCAATCAGAAAGATTTCTGGCTCCCAGGTGTCTTTTATACAGGTAACGAGCTGAGATTAGGAGCAAACTCTTAAAGGGAGTGCTCCTAATCTCAGTTTGTTACCTGTATAAAAGACACCTGTCCACAGAAGCAATCAATCAATCAGATTCCAAACTCTCCACCATGGCCAAGACCAAAGAGCTCTCCAAGGATGTCAGGGACAAGATTGTAGACCTACACAAGGCTGGAATGGGCTACAAGACCATCACTAAGCAGCTTGGTGAGAAGGTGACAACAGTTGGTGCGATTATTCGCAAATGGAAGAAACACAAAATAACTGTCAATCTCCCTCAGCCTGGGGCTCCATGCAAGATCTTACCTCGTGGAGTTGCAATGATCATGAGAACGGTGAGGAATCAGCCCAGAACTACACGGGAGGATCTTGTCAATGATCTCAAGGCAGCTGGGACCATAGTCACCAAGAAAACAATTGGTAACACACTACGCCGTGAAGGACTGAAATCCTGCAGTGCCCGCAAGGACCCCCTGCTCAAGAAAACACATATACATGCCTGTCTGAAGTTTGCCAATGAACATCTGAATGATTCAGAGGAGAACTGGGTGAAAGTGTTGTGGTCAGATGAGACCAAAATGGAGCTCTTTGGCATCAACTCAACTCGGAGGAGGAGGAATGCTGCCTATGACCCCAAGAACACCATCCCCACCGTCAAACATGGAAACATTATGCTTTGGGGGTGTTTTTCTGCTAAGGGGACAGGACAACTTCACCGCATCAAAGGGACGATGGACGGGGCCATGTACCGTCAAATCTTGGGTGAGAACCTCCTTCCCTCAGCCAGGGCATTGAAAATGGGTCGTGGATGGGTATTCCAGCATGACAATGACCCAAAACACACGGCCAAGGAAATAAAGGAGTGGCTCAAGAAGAAGCACATTAAGGTCCTGGAGTGGCCTAGCAAGTCTCCAGACCTTAATCCCATAGAAAATATGTGGAGGGAGCTGAATGTTCGAGTTGCCAAACATCAGCCTCGAAACCTTAATGACTTGGAGAAGATCTGCAAAGAGGAGTGGGACAAAATCCCTCCTGAGATGTGTGCAAACCTGGTGGCCAACTACAAGAAACGTCTGACCTCTGTGATTGCCAACAAGGGTTTTGCCACCAAGTACTAAGTCATATTTTGCAGAGGGGTCAAATACTTATTTCCCTCATTTAAAATGCTAATCAATTTATAACATTTTTGACATGCGTTTTTTTTCTGGATTTTGTTGTTGTTATTCTGTCTCTCACTGTTCAAATAAACCTACCATTAAAATTAGAGACTGATCATTTCTTTGTCAGTGGGCAAACTTACAAAATCAGCAGGGGATCAAATACTTTTTTCCCTCACTGTACTAAGGCATTTGAGAAAATTCTATAGCAATACAGAGTGGGAAAGCAGCCATGTGTTTGGACAATTAATAGACACTGCAGTCAATAAAACCGAATAAAAACAGACCGGTGCGCTATAGCCAATCAGAGCTACAATAGGCTTTTATATAAACAAGCCATTTACCACACGGGCCTGCCATCATTCATTTTGAACTGGACTGTGTGTTTACAGGCAGTTGCAACCGCGCGACTTTAGATTATTAGAACACATTCGCCAAAATACACCTGAATGG